CAGTAATGCAGTATTCAAGATAGTCAGTAATCAGTGATTTAGTATTAAAGTTTTATAATATTGGAAAGTATATTAGATGAAGATTAAAAAATAGTGTTAAGAGAATATTAGTTAGAGATTAAAAATTATATTATTTATATGGAGATTCGAAGAGATTACCAATTATATTATCTATATGGTGATTGGAGATTAGAAGAAATTAAAAACTATAATATTTATATGGTGAAAAAAATTATTAGAAAGAAGAATAAACAAGAAATCAATAAAGAAAGAAAAATATTTTGCAGAATTTATAAATCCTATTAAGAAGAAAAATATTTTAAAATGGTGGAAGCTGATAATTAAAACTGGTGGTGTATTTGGTAAAGCAATTTCACAAAAAGAAGGATAACCGCGGCTGATAACGAAGACATTGAGTGGTGATTAAAATCTTTATTTTGGAAAACAGTTTCATTTAGGCATTCAGTGACAGAAAGGTACCAAATTTTGTTGATATAATTTAAATATTGTAATAAGAATTTCAATTTAAGATAGGTTGTTTTAAATTTACATTGTCTATATTAGATATATGTATATATATTATTGAGATATTTAAAGTCTTGGTGCGCCAAGCAATAATTAGCTAATTAATTTTTTTGATTAATTAAAATTATTTAAATGATATGATTATGACTCTATCACAATTTTTAATTCTTTTATCTCAGGGTTAAATTCGTGCTTCAATATCTATGCTATTACATGTGAAAGGTAAGGTCCAAAGAATACCGGAATAATAAAAAACACATATGATCTAACACTATATATTGAAATAAAAATAATGAAATAATTTACACTCAAAAGTTTTCAGTAAACAAAATCTCATATAATAATTCCATCGAGCAAAAAGACAATAGAGGGAATGTAAAGGTAGTGGGGGCAAACATATTGTTAGACAGGAAGTGCGATCTTTAGAGGCCACTTTAAACAAGGAAAGAGAGTCTCTCTTCTTGTTTGACATCAAATTTAGTTGGGTTATGTTATTGTTTATCCCAAATGTCACATGAAATCTTATTTATATTGAAGTTTTTTAACAATTGTGTCGCATTTTAGACTCTTATCATTAATAATTAATTAAAACTTGCTCGTCTAAGACACATTCTGAAAAATATTATATAGCTACTGTTGATAAGTGTCGGAAAATTTAAATTTCGCGCATTCGCATTTCCGGATATGTCCGCCATCAGAGGCCACTTTTTTGGTCTCCTTTTCATAAGGATTAGATTCCCTCTTTTGTCTTATTGCTCGATGAATAATTGTCAAAATTTTGTTCTACGTACGTGAACAATCAAAATTAATGGTACAAACAATATTAGTTGAAATCTCAAAATCCAAGTATTACTCTAAATCTCCTAATCAAAATATTTATATCCTTTCTAAATTAAGTGAAAAAAATTGTGTTATCAATGAAAGAAAAACTGCAAAAAAAAACAAAACTATCTCTCTCTCTCTGATGATGAGTGGTCCAAATCCTTGTTATTTGTATACTATACTATTTACTTGTGGCCGCTCCCCAAGTAATCAGCAATCTTACAATAAATTGTTGCAAGTATATTGTCCTTAATGATCTCCTTCAAAAGCACAAATCATTCAAATTATGATAGCCTTTCTCCTCTCGATAAACTGAATCTCTCGTTGGCCCGAGTGAAAAATGACTCTTGGAATATCTTCTCTTTACGATAAACTGAATCTCTCGTTGGCCTGAACAGTGATTCTTGGAATATAAGTAGAAAAATATGACTTACAATATTTTGCTGCTTCAGCTTCTGTCAGATACACTAACTCCACAAAAACTCACTAACATTCAACACTACTGCTTGCTACTTCTCGGGAACCGCCAGAGAACAATCACTGTTCGTCTTACAGACTTGGAAAACCAACTGACTCTCTTTTCTCACTCCGAAATCTAGCTAAACTTTCATTCCTACATACCTATCCCACCTTTTTCAATCTCCGCCAATCAAAACTCGTCACAATTTCCCCATTTTTTCAATTCGATAACAAACAACTTTTTACCTATAATTATAAAATTTCCTAAAACTTATTTACAAATAATATTTTTCTACAATTCTTAAAAACTAACAAAAACCTCTTTCTAACATCTCTTCTATTGTCTTTAATCACTGCCTAAATGTATTTGGAAAAACCCGGTTCAAATTGTCTTTGGATTTCACTTAAAATTATGCGGGTCACTCAAGTATAACAAAGAAAATAATTTATGCATAGCTTACATTTTGTTTAATACAGGTAATCCAAAAAATTTAAAAACTTTCTTTCTTCGAAATGTTTGTTGGTTATTATCTTACTTATCTGAATTATTTTAATGTTTTTGAATTTTGAAATATTTTAAACAAACCAATATTTTTCTCGATTTTACATATCATAACAATATATATATATATATATATATATATATATATAATATATATATATATATATATATATATATATATATATGTGTGCGTATGTGTGTGTGTGTTTCATAATAATTATAATAAAGATAATTTTAAAAAGTGCTTACAAACTCTTTGAGAATTCTTTGAGAACCGCGATAAAACCCTATATATATATATATATATATATATATATATATATATATAATATATATATATATATATATATATATATATATAAATATATATATATATATATATATATATATATATATATATATATATATTATTTAAAAATACTCATAGCTCATAAAACATACACAAACAAAACATCATAACAATATATTGTTAAAACCCACGTTTCCAATACTTCTTTTGTATTGAGTATATGCCCCTCCTTATCCTTAAATAGTCAGATCCTTGGTTTAAATTATTTTCTTCATTAAGCATTATTTAGATTTTCATAGAATTTTCTTGTTGAATTTCCTTTTTTAATGCCTCAAGTTCTTCCAATATTTTATTTTCATAAGTTCGCTTTTTTCTTTGATGGATGTACTTCTCTTCTATGTTTGTTCTTTTTCTCGGGTTCTTCTTTGGTGCATCTTTTTTATTTGCTGCGTCTTTAATATAATTTTTACACATTTCCCATTGTTCACTAATTGTTAGATTCTCTTTGGTTATGTATTTAGTTTCGATACAGTTTTGAAACCTTTCTACCGTTTGCGGATAGTTCAATATTAAAGCACCTTGTTTTGGTACTTCTCTCCTTAGTCTCTCCTAAGTCCCCATATGTATTTTTTTGTGAAGAAAACATGTGCTTACTCCGATCATGTTATTTGAGGCTGCGAAGGTGACTGCTCGGTGTCCATTCGAATTAGTTTTATTATGGAGACTATATTTACCAATGTGCGGTAGATATATTTCTTGTCTTCCGATTTTTGCGTTCAAATCACCCATTACTATTTTAATGTCATTTCTGAGACAATTGTCATATGTTCTTTCTAATTCATCATAGACATTGTCTTTTTCTTCGTTTTCCTTGTTCTCCATAATCTTTTTAATTACTTACTCTGATTAAAATATTTTTGCCTGTATTATCAGTTAGAGTTAATTTGTATAAAATGAGGAGCAAAAATTCAAATGGAATTTTAAATATTATTGTTTATTTGGCTTATAATGAATGTATAAATATAATGGCTAACCTGCGGTACAATTGTTTTGTAGATAACATAATAGTGTACTTACTGATTATTTAAATTAATAAATCATCATCATCGTCACTAAATTCACTAACGTTATCATGATGTAAATCTATAATTACTGGATTAATGTCACTAATTTAATTTTCCCGGATCCACCACTCTTCTTTTAATAATTGTTCACATTTATTTGCAATTTGGCTCATATTTCTGGAGTTGCAGTTTTAAGAGCTTCTTGCCACATTTTCCTAACTGCATCGTCACTGTATCCACTGCATCCAACGTGATTATCATAATACGTTTTACATATACCCTAGATGTGTTCGATGGGATTACACTGACAGTGAAACAGCGATAACCGTAGCACTTGATGTCCATTAGTTGATACAATTTGGTCAACTATATAAACTGTTGGTTTTTCATTACGTTTCGAAATTTCTAGTAACTCTGATTTGAAGATGTATTCCGGAAAATTGATAGTATCCGGAAAATTGATACTATTTTTCACTAACTAATTTTTTATACTCGGTACGTTCCACGACTGTTTTTATTGGTTCTCTGGTTAAGATCTCCGTAAGAACTTATATCACAACTGCAGGATGGTGCCGGTAATATTCCAAGCTTAAATAAATACGACGGGAATCGACCATAATTCGTTTTTAAGCAAAATACACTTGCCGAGAAGAATTTGGTAGTCTAGTAATTGAATATGTACTGGGGTGAAAGTGGTAAAGTGGGGTGTATCTAAAAATATGTATTTTGCTAGTTTTCAACAACAACATTTTGCTGTACCCATTTCAGTATAATTTAATTTTTTATTAAGTTAAATATATCCCTTACTGTATAAATATTACAAAAGACTCCATTCTGCACTGCTTCCTTAGCAAGAGTATCAGTTTTTTCATTCCCGGGTATACCTACATGGCCTCTATCTCAAATAAATGTTTAAATTTAAATTTGCAATCATGCTTTTAAAACAACATAACATATGACACTTCATTCCTTTAAATTTTGTATTTTTTATGCTAAACATTATGGAGAACATCAGTGCAGTTTACCGTGCTTTTTACTAAAACGAAAGGTTTTCTGCGAATTCCGATAATCTTTTAGAGGTGTAAGTTAGTTGAATGTACTGTACTGTTATGTGTAAGTGCAACATTTCACATTTCAAATTCAATTATTTGTGGAGATGTCAGATTCTGTATGCCACAGATTTTATCCTCCTTTATTGATATTTAAAAAATATTTATTAAATTTACTGTTATCCACTTTTATAGTTGCGGCACCGTTTGAGTAAACAAACAAAACAGTATAAAATGCAATATAAAAAATCCAATAGGTACCATATTTACAAAACCAACGTAATACTTACTTAATTCTTCTGCTAGTGTAACTCTTCTACCTGTAAGTAACTGAACTTTCTTATCATTATCTTGGCTATAGTCTTCTAACACTTCTTTAATCTCCTTGTCTAATCTTCTAGCTATAAAAATATAGAAATAAATTTTATTGGTCTGGAAGTATTTTTTACATAAAATATGTTTTTACAACAGTTATATTTGTTGGTATATGGGAAATATTATATAAATATATATAAAAATTTATATATATTTATATAATAAAACGAAATGTTTTCAAAGATTTTGCATAATCTAAAATGTAAAATAAATATTGTCTATAATTTTTTAGATTTACTAGAAGAAATATTATTTTTGAAACATCGAAAAATATAGTTTAATATAAAAAAAAACTTACAATGAAAAATAACTTCTGATGTAAAATGATATACAATTTTAAATTAAACTGTGGTATATAGCCAACCACTGTGAGTTTCTCTTTTAATTTTTTATATTTTAATACGTAATCACATATTAACACATATTATACATGAAATTAAATTTCGCGAACTAACAAAATAAAATAAAAATATCTGCATGAAAATGGATTTAATTTCATATTAAAAAGTAATTCCAACTGCTTAGCAACTTTTCGATAAAAAATTATTGTAACATACGATTATAAACACTAGATACGATTTTGTTGTCAAATTTGTCGTGACCTATTCCAATTCTATCGAATTTAGCCATCGCAATTGTTGAAATGTTGATTTCTGCTATACTATATTAAATACATAGTTAAAGTGGCATACAACAGTGAAACTTTTATGCCTTCCAAATGGTTCTGATAGTTATTGACTCAAACTTCATCATTATTATCATCAGTCTTCCGTTGATGTGTCTTTCAACACTAACTGTTGGCTTAGTGCTGCTTTATATGCAATTGCAAAAATGTAATTATTTAATTTTTGAAATCACGTAAAATTAATATTAAATAAAACCATATTTAGCTAATTAGAAAAATATGATCAAAAATTCAGAAGGAAAATCCGAGATGCAAAAGAAAAATGGTACAGCAGCAAATATATTGAAGTAGAAGAAATGTAGAAAAATAATGACACGTTTAATATGTAGAAAAAAGTGCCAGAAATACCTGGACCATATAGGTCAACTTCAAGTAGCTTACTTGACAAAAGGAAATATCGTAGTCAATGAACAAGACAAACTGGAGAGGTGGATGGAATATAACTTGAGAAACTGTTTGATGATGATAGAACAGAAATACAAATCGAAAATATATCGACATCCACTGTACAAAACATCATCATCATCATCAACTAGTCACTAACATGTACTGAAAATTTTCTTAAGAATACTGCTCTCGAGAATTTATAACAAAATATAAGTACAACGAAGCGAAACCTAGCTTGGTTTTAGAAACAATCTTGGAACCAGTATAATATGTGCTTTGTAGACTTCGAAAAGGCCTTTGACCGGGTCACCCACGACAAAATGATAGGTGTCTTGAAACAGGTGGAAATGAATGACCAAGACATCAGTATAATCAAAAATTTATATTGGAATCAATGTGCAAACATACGAACTGGTCAGAATACGACGGAAGCAGTGGAAATACGACGTGGAGTGAGTCAAGTAGAATATTTTATCGCCTCTACTATTTAATATCTACTCCGAATTTATTTTCAAAGAAGCCTTAGATGAAAATGTAGGCATTAAAATCCACGGGATTAATGTCAACAATCTCAGATACGCAGACGACATGGTACTGATTGCATCCAATGAAAAAGAGTTGCAGCGACTTATCAACAGAGTGACCGAAAAATGTGTTGAATATGGGCTAAAGCTTAGCACTTCCCTTAACCGAGAGGGTGCCATGTCCCAACCTATCATCCTTGTCCAATGACTCCAAACTTCCTAACCCATACCAGCATCCTTATAACAACCCCGCCCAGGCCAGCGTAGTAGAGAAACTGCCAGAAATCCCAGTAAAGTGAGAAACGAAGAAATAGCAAGGCCCTCGGTCTCCGACAGTCCCTTGAAACCTGGCTCGAGGCTTGCTAGTAGCAGTCTCGGAAGTAGAGGGACAGAGGGTGGACCCCGGAGTAGACCAGGAAACCTTTACAAACGACAACGGCAAAGAATATGGTTTATAGCAACAGACAACACCAGAACATTGATGGAGGATGAAAAACTTGTGGAACTTGAAAACAAGCTGAAGCATATAAAATGGGATATACTTGGGATTATCCGAAATACGGCGAAAAGGTGAAGAACAAATGGTACTTTCATCGGAAAACCTATTGCACTATTATAAAGGAGAGTCTTCTAATGCTGGCGTCGGATTTATTGTAAATAAAAAATATACAAAGAATATACTAACATATCTTATTTACAAAATAAACGAAAAAATCCGATTAAAGATCATCTAGGTATGCGCACCTACCAGTGCCCACAAAGACGAAGTTGAATAGTTCTACGATGACGTTAACATTGTGATACAAGAGGTAACCACCAACTATACTATACTGATGGGAGACCTAAACGCAAAAATAGGCCATAAGCAGGATGATTCGGAGTTTGTACTTGGATCCAAAGAAAGCGGACTTGGCAGTCACCAAATGTTATGTGGACGGCGTTATGCATCCCTAGACCAAGCGCCATTTTCTCAAATTGTGGATTATTGCGTTTTTTTTTTTGTGGGAAATAGCATAAAATATCTACAGGATAAATCCCATTAGTCTATTAGTAACGGTTAACCAGATATACTTAAAAAGACCAAGTGCCTTTCTTCTTATTCTGGATATTGAATTTTGCATAACTAGACCAAGTGACTAATTTTCTGTATTAGTTTTGCATCAGTAGACCAAGCGCCTCTTACGAGCGTTTTAATGACTGTAAATCGAATATTTGGCAACATACGTATATAAGTGTTGTTGACAATAACTTGTTGAGGCGTTTAGGTTAAGAAGTAGTGCCAGTTATTGCTTAAATTTTTCTATAAAATTAAGAGAGCTATAATTTGGTCAAATATTTCCGAAGGCCCAATAAAGCGTAAAAGAAGAAAAACCAGTAACAACATAAATACTACAAGGATATACACAATATTCGTTGTGACAGTATGTAAACCTCTCTTTCTATAGACCTTGAGAATATCAAATTGCAAAGTCAGTGCAGCATTGAAAGCTATGAAACGTCCAATGAGTGTTCGAGATTGTCGTGGTCAAAGTGAAGGTCATAATAAAATTAACGATAATCGTTTACAAAAACTAATTGAGCACATAACGAAATTTCACATTACAGAAGAGCTAACGCAGAAAGAGAATACCGAACAGAAGAAACAACATTAAGTAAAATGTATGAATTATATATTGAAGAACCAGACAATGATCCTGTTAAATTTTCGTTTTCCAAAAAAATATTTTTAATACGTTTTAATCTTCAAAGAAAAAAGTTTAAAAAAGATACTTGTAGTAGATATGATTGTTTCGAATTAGAAATTAAAAATTGCGCAGATACGAAAAATTAAGCAGGTTAAATGAAGAAAAAATTTGAACTTAGAAGAAGCTGAAAATGCACAATCTAGAAGAAAGCTAGACATGAAGATGAGCCAAGAAGTGGAAACCTTTTGTTTTGATTTAGAATAAACTTCCGAGAATTCCAACAAATATCGTATATTATAAGCGTCAATTATGTATTTACAGCCTTGGTATCCATAGCGGCAAGGATAACAAAGGTCATTGTTATGTTTGGATAGAAGGTGAAGCTGGTCGGGAAGTCCAGGAAGTAAGCAGTTATCTTAAGAAACACATTGAAGAAAATGTTACTTCTGCAAAACATGTAATTTGGTGGTCAGACTCTTGTGGCGGCCAAAACCGCGGCATTAAAATAGTTTTGATTCTGAAAACGATTTTGGAAACTCATCCTACCATTGAAAAAATTACATTACGCTATCTTTTTCCTGGTCATAGTTTTTTACCCAATGATAAAATGATAAAATTTCAACAACGTTTACATACCGTTGATGATTACCTAAACCTGATGAAGAAATCTCGTAAAAAGAACCCATTAGGAGTTCACAGAATGAAAACAGAAGAATTCGTTGGAACAAAGAAGTTGGAAACTATGATTACAAACCGTAAATCAGACACAGAAAATAGTAAGGTAAGCTGGCTTAAAACAAGAGAAATTGATATACGAAAGGATAAATCACTGAGTATTTTTAGGAAAACTGATTGTAACACTAGTGAAGTTGAAGTAGATCTTCATGAGAAACTTCAAAAAGGACGAACCGTTGCAATGCAATCTCTAAGTAACCATATGATTCCTCTTTGGCCCACAGGCAAGCCACTTCCCGTGCCTAAGCTTAACGACTTAAGATCTTTAATGCACCTAATACCAAATGATGCAAAACCTCAGTATCGCTTCCTTTTCAGTAACAATTCAGTAGATGTCATTGACGGATTTGATGGAGACTTTGACATACGAGATGAGTAATGTTTATTTACTGTTTTCATAATATGTATTCAGAAAATTGTACCTACTGTTAACACTGAGTTCAAGTTTTTTTTTTATATTTTTGATTAATTTCTTAAGTAATATAAAATATTCAAAACAACGACTTTTATTGTCATATCCAAAACGAAAAAATAGATTGTGGCCTACTAATCGTTCACTAAAAGTGATATTTTAGTTACGCATTACTAGACCAAACGACCTCCATGTCACTTGGTCTATAAAACTTTTGAAGTAATATATCTCAAAATCAATTTTTGGCTCTTGGTCTAGTGATGCATAACGCCGTTCATGTATAACATATGTGAAAATGTAGATGTGATCTAGCGAAAGTCGCCGTAGGAAAAATGGTCAAAATATGGAAGATCTCTCAAATTTCACGAACTCTAAAAATGAGATTGATCAACTACGTAAGGGGACTTTTACTTTCTAAATCGGGTAAAAAAAAAGACAATTTTTAAATATTAAAAACAAAAAAAATATATAATATTTATGGTTATAAATTTTTATATTCATTGTTAAGGTTTTGAGGTACCTATACAAAAAAAAATTTTTTTGTCACTTTTAGTTCTTTTTCAAAAATGCAGAGGGCGTCTTCCCAAAGATGCATTTT